CAGGCTGTGCGCAGGCTGCGCGTAGGCTTCGCCAGCGACCCCTGGAGTTGGTCTGTCTACATAAAAAGGAATACGCCGACAGGACGCCGGCGCGGGACTCCGGGAAGGGCCCCGGTTCCGTTTTGAGGTTGGCGCCGGGGTTAAGCGGAGGTTTCCTGGACCTCGGAGGCCCTGCTCGCCGCCGCGGCTGGAAGCGAATCGAAAAACTGGTGCGTCTGGGCCCGTGGAGTTGGGCCGTCTACATAAAAAAAATATACGCCGAGTGGACGCCGGCGCGGGCTCCTGGGAGGGGTCCCGGTCCCGTTTTAAGGTTGGCGCCGAGGTTAGGTCGAGGTTTCCTGGCCCTCGAAAGCCCTGCTCGCCGCCGCGGCTGGAAGCGAATCGAAAAACTGGTGCGTCTCGGCCCCTGGAGGTGGGCCGTCTACATAAAAAAGGATACGCCGACAGGACGCCGCCGCCGTCGCTGTCGCAGCAGTTCTCATCAATTGCATTTGCACCATGTGCAACCCGACAAAGGGAGGGAGAGGAGCCTCAGCAGGCCTCCGAGAAAAAAATCTCCACTGGCATCGTCAGGAGAACAATCACCACTGTTGCCGATTGCTCGGCCCCTCCACCCCCCCAAACCTCCTTATCACCCGCAGGGTGGTCGTATAGGTATATAACGCACTGCAAAAACACAGCGGCGAAAGGGGGGGGAGAAGGAAGATAAGAGAAGAGGACACGCCACACCGGAAAAGGGCGTGCACGAAGATTGGAACATTGCCCCACCATTCTATCAGCCCTGGGGTGGGCACGAAAAGTACGAGACGGCGTGAGAGTGAGAGAATGAGAGAGAACAAAACAAAAAAAAGAAAAACGATCGAAAAAAAAAACGATGAGAGAGAGAAAGAGAGAGAGAGAGAGAGAGAAAAACAAAAAACAAAAAAGCGAAGAGAGCGAGGCAGAGGGCGGGAGCGAACGAGGGAGAGGAATGGACGCCAGATCACAGCACGAGGCTCCACTGGCCAGCCAAACGGAGGCACTATAGAGACAGTGAGCACAGTGCGCAGGAAGGGAAACCAAGCAGGACAAGGTAGCCTAGAATAGCGATTGAAACCCCAGCCGACGGCTGAAGCCACGCGCAGCGGCTGCCAAGGAAGGTAGGCGGCCGCGCGTGCAGCTGTCGTCCGCCCAGGTGCAAATGGGAGGGCACGAGGTGTGGGAAGCGCACGGGGCAGTCTGGATGGTACATGCAAGAAGACACCTAGTACTACACCAGCCACGCAAGGGAAGTCGAAGGAGCGAAGCAAAAGAAAGAGAGGGCGAGGGGGAGCGGAGAGACGAGGGGGAGCCCTCAGAGACGCTTCCACTGCAAAATGGAGGGGCCATGCTCGCCGCCCTCGCCGTGCGCCGTCAGCGCCTGCCGGAAAGTGCCCACCGAAGAGAGGATGGACCCGCAGTTCCGAGTCCACGTCGTCGGTAAAGGAAGCTGTGGATGTCGACTTCGCACTGAATGCTGGACTGGGCTGGAAGGTGGTGTCGTCGATCCCGCTGGCCGTCTCGCCGCGGGGCGGAAGCCTTGGACGTTGGAGCACTGGTCGGAGATAGGGGGAGAAGGGAGCGGGCGAAGCAGACGACGGACATGATGATGAAGAGGACGGGGAAGGAGACCACCAGGAAGCCGGGGAAAGCCCCGCTGGCGCAGACGATGATGCAGAGAGCCTCGGAGCCGGAGTGAAGATCGGCCCAAAGCTGGATGCTGAACCCCGTCCCCGTGACTGCCCAGTCGCTAGGATCAGATAAGCCGCCGCCGGACTCGGCGGCGATCGTCTTCTCCATCCCGTCCGCGCCGTTGTGGGTAGGCGGCGGCGGTCTCGCCGCATGAGCGTCGAAGTCGCGCAGTCCCCCTGCAGGCCCCGTGCAACAATTGGTCCATGCAGTGACGCATGTACGCAGTGCGCGCGCATGTGCATCCGCGGACGAACGCTGGCGCACTGCGTGGACCGCGCGGTAGAGCACGTACGTGGAAACCGCCTGTCGGCACAAGGTGGCGTCGTTCATGTTGAGTCGAGTCGAGTCGACGCTGCCTCGGCGAGTCGAGTCGAGTCGAGGAGGAGGAGGAGGAGGAGGAGGAGGAGGAAGAGGAGAAGGGAGGAGGAGGAGAAGGAGCAGGAGGAG